AGGGAAAGATGCCAGAAAGAAAGTTAAAGGGAGCCAGGTTCCACCTGCAAAATGCTGGATGCTGCATCCCTGCTGGAATACAGCAGCCCCGCATTTGTGGCCCCGCGCTGAAAACCACAATCTCCTTGTTGAAACCAAGAGGAAGACCAGGAACAGGAACTGAACTGGAAATCTAGTCTGCTGCTGCCACTACCTCCCTTCCGCTTCAGCCCAGGGTACCCAGCTCCACCTGGCACATCCAAAAGCGACGTTGCCGTATTTCACGTCTGGGCTTTTAGTGATGCTTGCATTTTCCTTTTCCCTTTCTGCAGACACAGGCTCCATCCATACTTTTGAGGACAACACATGAACCTGACCGGCAGGACACCAAAACGTATCTGCAAGCTACCAGCAGTTTGGGATTTCCTAGATAGATCTACCCACCTGTTTTGTCCCAGCAGGATTTGAATATATTTGTACCTTTCTTCTGCTTTGGGGGTTCAGGACAGACCTCCTCCAGTGCGGATACTTGCTTAGATTCTTCCTTTTCTCTTGCTGCTTCTCTCACCAGCTCCTCAGATACGGCTCCTTCCTGTCAGTTTTAACTTTTTTTCCTGATGTTAATGCTAATATGATCTGCACAGCTAAACTCCAAGCCTCACAGTAAAACATTGTGGAGCCCCGTTGTTGTCTTAACTCTTTTGCGGCTCTCCAGGTATCTGACATATAGCCATCAAAGCAGCACGTCGGGTGGTCATTCAGCTGCTCTGCAGCGTTCCCGTGATCTTCAAAATGCAGGATGCTGAACTAGACTTCATTCTTGGGGCCCAAGGAATTAAATAGAGGTTAATGCATTAGGTGTGTACGTATATTTGCCTCCTGCCACTCAGAAGCTCTCGTTATTGTAATGAGGCTTCCTGAGCTTTTTCCTGCTCCTTTGCTAAAAGCCAAAGTAGGTGTTATTCCTTTTGCTGTTCTGCTTCAGCTGTAGCCTGACTTTAAGCTACTAAAGGCAAAGGAAAAACCAGCTCCAAGCAGGAACCTGTCAGTGGTCTGGGGAGCTCCAAAACTGCAACAGCAAATGCAAAACTTTGGAGGAGAAGCACTGCCCTGTTGCCGATTCCTCCTTACAAAGCAGCAGCCATCAGCTCAGGTCCACTCCAGCATCCCTCCAGTCTGTGATGGAAAGCAAGGACACAGCAACTCTGATTATTTACCCACTTTGGGGAAGCTTTCTCCAGCATGCCAACACCTCACAAGAGCCACATGAATCTCTACAACCTATAAATAAAGAAATAGGAGGCTTGGTCTGATGGGGTGGTGGCGGGCGGGAAAGCCAGAAGGACCCCGGGTGTGCATTTTAAGCGGGAACAGCAAGCAAATATCCCTGGCCAGCCCTCCTGGAGATGAGTGCATCCAACTGCTGGATGCCAATGGGCACGGAAAGCGAAAATAGCAATGACGTGGCCGTCCCTCTTCTCATCCAAGCGCTCAGTTGTATGCTTGGCTAGTTTTCACTCAAAACAACTCAAACCCTACTATGTATCTAAGAAATTTCCAATCCTAAGAAAAAATAAAATAAAAGGTGTGTGGTGGTGGTGGGGGGGGTGATTTTTAGAAGCGCCCCAAGGAACAACAAGGCCGTGGAAGAAACTTTTTACTCCCCAGGACGGAGCGCAGCCGCCGCCT